CTCTGACAAAACGCTCAGTTGTGCAAGCTTTCATGTTGAAGCTCATGTAAATATTTTTTTAATTTGATCATTTTTATCCCTTCGTGTAATGTGTAAATTTCTGCTAGCGAAACTGTATTCCTTAATCGTACCTTCAATAAATCCAAGTGTCAGCTGCTGGCCGTAACACACAAATATCAACATGGAAGGTGCACCGTAAGGATAACGGAAGTCGTGCTTGAAGGAGGCAGGAGGTCCTACTTCTTGGGGCGGTCGCCCCGCAAAGTAATTACCCCTCTGCGCACTTGCCCCTTTGCGCAGAAGATCGGTCTAGAATGACCTAAACTTAGCGATAGTGACAGTGAGACCTCACTTCAGCCTTATCACCAACATTTGGACAACAGCACAATACAGCTTATTTATAACCCAACGACGCCGCTTTGCCACAACTCAACTCGCCCCGAAACAAACACCCACCCTCAAATCAACGACATATCTCTACGTTGCCAAAATGGGCAACACCACCAGCGCAGTCCTGGACAACCTCGTCCAAGGATCCAACTGTGAGCCTTGCCCTGCCTGGCCCCTTGGAAGCCCTGACCCCTCAACGCGAACGCACGGTTGGGGGAGGGGTGATGGAGTGAAACATATACTGAGATGTACGGTTTCTAGTCGACAGAGAGGAAGTTGATCGTCTGCGAAAGCGATTCATGAAGCTGGACAAGGTGCGCAAGCTTTCCGACTTTTTGGTCTTTTGTCATGTCAAATGATGAATATGGCTGGGACTTTCACAAGTACAATGGACGCGAAAAGCTGACTTGGGACTTCTTAGGATAACTCCGGTACGATCGAACGCGATGAATTCCTCAGTCTTCCCCAGATCTCTTCCAATCCTCTTGCAACACGGTCCGTTCAAGCTTCTTCATTACCCTCGCCAATTAGCTAACTCTGCTATAACAGAATGATCGCCATTTTTGACGAAGATGGTGGTGGTGACGTCGATTTCCAAGAATTCGTTACAGGCCTTTCGGCTTTCAGCAGCAAGGGAAACAAGGAACAGAAGCTGCAGTTCGCCTTCAAGGTCTACGACATTGACCGTGATGGTTACATCAGCAACGGAGAGCTATTCATTGTCCTCAAGATGATGGTTGGCAGCAACCTTAAGGACCAGCAGCTGCAGCAGATTGTGGACAAGACTATCATGGAGGCCGATCTCGATAAGGACGGCAAGATCAGCTTTGAGGAGTTCACCAAGATGGTTGAGTCGACTGACGTCAGTATGAGCATGACTGTCGGTAAGTTGTTTGAGGCTATAGTTGTGTTCTTTTCGGCGATGAATTCTGCTATCGTGATTGGCAATTGGGATTTCGGTGGTTTATCAGACGCTGACATGGTATTACAGACCAGTTCTAAACGATCGCACATAGAAAGGTGCATACAGGGTAGGGGAGTAAAGATTTCAACATTGCCATGGACTTATACGGTCCATAGTCCTACGAGGGCTACCGGTGGAAATGGATGAGGGATATGGGGTTGGAACGCCTAGCGAATCTAAACATCATTACGATCATGAATTCACGCATTCTGTTTTGTTGACCAACAGACTCGTGTTGCCCGCTGTCTGTCTGATTGTATTGTCTCGCCGGGGCATTCCTAAGAGAGGACGAAGGGCGCAAATGTGTTGCCCTCTGTTCAGCTTATGACGAAGCTAATAATCTAGGATATTAGAATACTCGCCTCGGGATGATACCTCGTCAGCGTAAGGGGGTCTGGCTTGGCATTGCAGCTCGCTGAAATCCCCAATGCCTAAGATTTGCATGGCGACCATGTTGATTCTGTCTACCCTCGAGACGAAGAAAGAAGCGGCGGTTGATAGGGGCTAGTATCAGTGTGAACTTGAAGCCTTTGGGCATGAAGGATTCGCTTCTTCTTCTTCTTCTTCTTCTTCTTCTTCTTCATCTTCATCTTCATCTTCAACTCATTCATTGGACTATTGCGTTCGGCCGTTTATCTACCCCAATGAATTGTAGCTCCGCCAGGTTCTTGACTCCTTCCCAAAGGTAATAGAGTGCTGATAACATCAAGCTCATGCTAAAGGCCATCGACAAAGACTGATATGTCCATGGTTCACTACCTGGGTTCGGACACTTCGGGTATGATGCTCATCGAGACCTATCCCAGCACCGTGCAGAATCACGTTAACGCAATATCGCTGTCCCGTTCAACTTGGTGAGAATAACAATCTCTGGAAGGGCGACCGTGAGATCTTTCTCTGATATTGTTTGAACCTGTCATGTCAAGGTCAAAGAGAGTGTGCGATTAAGTCTTGTATGGGAAGACAGATCATTCCCGCAAATGCGTGTTACCCTGCGTCCATGAATGAGACCCAATCTACTTATGATCTCTAACATGGCCGTTACTAAGAGTTGGAAAAGACCTTCATCTATTGCCTCTCAAAGCGACCATGCAACAACCATGGAGTCGGAATATGCTCTCTCTCAGGGCGCATACTTACAAGATAATTACATCAGCAAACTCTAACACTTTACGACACTCTGAATATGATTAAGATATACGTGCCGCGACGGCTATGTCGGATATAAAGCTGTGCCCAACGCGTGGCTGAGGCCCCTTTTTCGGTATGCTCGGACGTCTTCAGCATCGTCCAACCACATATATACTTTACAGGGGCTGCACGTCTTGAGTGAAACTCAAGGCATGCGCCTCGTCGGGGCTACGAGGCTGATGTTTGTTTTCACAGAACATGGCAGGGCTTGCAGAGGCCAGGAGGAAACAAGGCTATGCAACACTCATGGGGAGAAAGTTCAGAGGTAGGTTATACTTGCCAATTTCAAGTCTTAATGTTCCTCTGTTTGGATGTCCCTGGTGGTGAGACAGGGTGCATCATGTGCATCATGACCATATCCAACAACACACCCTCCTGAGTGACATCGAGTTCCTCATGTTTTAGCCCCGAGTCATAGCGGACGTTGCCGGTCGATCCCCGGCGTCGGGTCGGGGCTGCATCATGAACCGCAGCAGCGCCCCCACGTCTCGGACGTCGATGTGATGGAATCCAACATGTATGCCGATAATTGTCGGGTTTCGCTTTTCACTTGCTGATATGTCTGGCCTCAAAAGTGTCAAGAATGCTATAGATGGCTTGTTCTACCAACCCTTTCCAAGAAAAGGATTCCATGTCTCACAACGCCCCAGAAATCTCGGGAGCTATCAGGATACCGGGACCGGGGTGACCGGAGAATCGGTATTGTAGCACGGCTGGTGAAGATCCGGGGCATGAGGATCCATGTCTGGAGGCTTGCTTGCATCCTTGACAAGCTCATCACACCTCAAGATACGGGCGCACAAACAAGCCCTCGGCAGCTGACTCGATGTTGCACGAAACCTTAGCTGCATGTCTCGAACAGCATACAACCTTTCAAGGCGAGTTGTTTAGGTATTGGGCTGTCATAATGATGAGGCTAACGGAACAAAATTGTTTCGCTGGGAATTAGTCTCGGTTGTCGATCAGGATGTAACCCTATCTCTAAAGGAACATGGATAAATCTTGAATGTTGAAAGTGGGCTAGGTCGTTTTGTTTTGTTGGACTAGACAATTGTTTAGTTTGGTTTCGTTTTGTTCCCTCGTCAAATCTCCCTTTGTTATCTCCAGGAAGCAGAGGGGTGTAAGTTGAGGTTGGTATAAAATGACCTGTCATATTCGGATTTTAGTGTCGTCGAATTTCCGGCTGGCTGGGACGGCGAACAGACGTCCCAGTTTGTGTTTAGGGGGCGTTAGAAATCCGATAGACGAATCGCGGGAGACAAATGCCGGGATTTGATTCGTGATTTGTCGCCAAATGTAGACGGCGTGTAAGTATTGAGCCGATCAGATCTGATACCGCTGGTTAGCGACAATAGTCGCGCCACACTAGATGACATTATTGGCATGATCGACGAGGGAGGCATCTTAGACATGTCTTTTGACACTTTTGTGTCTCCATTCTTGACGAATGGCGCACCCCAGGCTTGTATTGTATATGCATAGCTCAGCCATGGTCTCAGTTCTCGAGACAACCCCAAAGCTGAGGAATCACTCTGTTGAACCAATTGTCAAATTCGCCTATTGGTTACCAGCATCCGTTCAGCTGGAACACCAAACACAACTAACCCCCACAAATTGCGGCACAGGCGCGCCAACAATACGGCGCAGTCAATGAATTACATGGGTAGTGTTTATGGTGTTTTCTTTTGTTCGCCAATTGTCCAGCTGACTTCAGGCATCGGTAGCCAAGAAGAGAAAATGCTCGAGGGAGACCACCAGAGGGTAGGCTAATGCCCAACGATTCGGCGGTCAGGCGAAGTATGTGGAGTTGAGCTTGATAAGGAGTGTCGGTTGCTTTCATCCGCTGCCTGCAGCGGAACAGACGGAACGGAAAGACCACGACAGCTGGAAGACACGGCGAGACTTGGAATCGCCGCGATCAAAAGGGGTTAATTAAGTTAGGCCCAGACAAGTCTAATTACGCGGGAATGGATGTATCGAAAAGTCAGATGATACGAATGATGGAGGCGAGTTGATGCCCGATGCATGATACTTGATATGTTGAACTGGGGCGGTCTGAGAGACGGATAGATGACAGACATCAAACGACCCAATTGTCGCCTCCTGCAAAAATAGTACAGCTTGCAAAGTGAACGCCAAAAGGGTGATGTTTCAATTAGGCGTCGATGTCATTAGGCTGTAACGTGAGGGCATTCATGTATCTCTCGAGATGTTTCCTGTTGTTGCGATCTGTTTCCCCATTAGAAGAAGTTGCCGTGTCAGAGCGTCAGCTGCGATTCGACAATAATGTTTCAGCCTCATTTGGATTGCGTTGCATCGCATCAGCGAGGGGCAACGTGATCGACATTAGGGCGTTCATAGCCGTTGGACCTCAAGGCTCAAGCCCCAAATCCTTCCATAATTGTGGCGAGTGAGTACGCGATCGAGGGATTGGGCTGGTATTGGGTAGGGCGACATGACCAGAGCGACAATCTTGCGCCTTTTTGAAACTATGTTAGGCATCGGCCAAGTCGAGCTCGATACTGGAGGGGCAATTGTTGGTGATGGTTCACCAGCAAGTCAGGCGGGGCGCGGCAATTGGCTGGAGAATTCGGATGAAGCAGAAATGCAGCTAAATCGAGACGATGACAAAAAGAAACGAATCATGGTTGTCAATGCGGATGCACCTCCACGCTTTGGGCCTACTAGATTCGATTGCGTTACTGCACTGTAGAGTAAAGCTGGTCTGTAAGAGAAGAAGAAAAGTTGGATGTAAAGAAAAGAAAAGGGAAGCGAGGGTATCCCCGCTCTTAAGAGGGCAAGTATAGGTAGGAGGGGTCCATCCAGCTCAGTCCAGTCCGCCTCGTTCTTTCCTCACTAAACCCGGCTGAGTTTGGACAACTCGATAAGGTCCAAGGGAAGAGAGAGAATTGGGTGTAGGTAAGTAAGTGAAAAGTCCGTTCGCGACTATTATCCAGTCTAACAAAGTCACCAGGTTTCGAGGACACGTCAGTAGAGTCGGGATTATCATCTGATCCTGCCTTTCTTTGACTGGTCACGTCACTATTATTAGTGTTGCCAGATAAAGAGTTCACTGGAGATAGACTGGACTCAACTCAATTAACTAGTAGATTTCGAAACAAAAGGTTTATTTGGTTGGTAAAACACAACTGCCGAGGACTGTGTTGCAGCTGACCAGTCATCTATCATTGTAACTGCAACCAACTGCATTGGATCCTGAGGGCTATGTTAGTCGAAATACCGTTGCTACCAATCGTCCATCTCTCGCATGCTTAAATCGAAACCCCTTGTGGAATTCGTAGCTCTGTCCTGGCAAGGATATGCTTGATATCTTTTGTTAGCACAGCGGAGCGGAACAGAGACTCCTCAGTAACATTCATAGAGGGTATGCTGTGCCGTGTTACTCCCTCCTCCACTGAATGATGATCATCGAAACAGAGCAAAATCTAGATCACCGGGAATCTCCCGAATGTAACTGAGCAATAAATAATGTCATCCCTTCCTTCCCAAGCCCAAGCCCGAGCCCAATGGTGATGATGATGTGTTGTTTGCTTTTTATGTCACTTTTCTTTTTTGGCTTCTTGTCATTCTCAGCTACGGTGGATTACATACTCCTTGTTAATGGATGTCCTGTCAAGCAGAACCTGGTACATAGCCCCCACTTGACTCGCGCAATCTTTCACAACCTACGGAGTAGTACTCACACACCCCCAAAGCCACACACAACAACAACACTGTCCATTGGCTCACAGCGACCGGGTAGGGCAGACGCCTCTTGTTTTGAGGTGCTTGTACCTGCATAAGAAGCCACTTTTGCGGGAAGACAACCGACTCGACTTTGTACCTGGTACGTATTCCCCCTTCGTTTCGCTATGACACTGTTGCATTTACCTCATGCACATGAAAACGCAGATGCGAATGCGCCTCTCTCTTGCAGCGAAGCTCGGCTCAGCTTCACAAAGCGCCCACCTTTGACAGGCCAGACAGACCAGACAGACTAGAGAGAATTTCTTTTGCCAGCGGAGAAAACTGGACTTGGCTGGCTGACAATGTTTCTTCTTTTGTTTCAGGGACTGAAGAGGAAAGTCGTCATGCATGAGTGCATATGCGTGTGTGAGAGATGCATTAGACTGTGCCTCTCCTGTGTAACCAACCTCGTCCTTCATAAATGCGGCCTATGATTAACAGAGACGCACGGGACATGTCGGTGAACTCAACAAAGTCACCGAGTTATCTGTCGGTGAGTCCATGTGCTGTTGGCGGTACTGCACTCATTGCCATGAGGAAAGAAGCTCAATATGAAAAAAACCCAGGGCAACCAGTGAAAGGAGCTGTCGGATTGGTAATTATTTAGCGTTTGAATACGCCATTTGAAGTCAACCTCCACAGCGCCAGCCACTCCCGTGCGTACGTCAACAACAACATCAACAACAGGGAACATACCTCAGACAGATAACATCCACAGTCGGAGACATGCCCAAGAGAACCACATTCAGCAAAGCTACTCTTCACTGTTTGAGATAAATCTGTCGATAACCCACTTGGAACAGAAGCTCAGGTACCAAAAAGCACTCGCCTAACCGTCCGTCAAAATCTCAGCCATCATCATTTTCCCCCCTTATACCTAGGAGGTACTGCACATTCAATGCTGTCACTGAAGAATAACCAGCCTATAATATTCGCAGGGATCAAACTCAGCCCGCTTTCTCTCGCAAGCAATACCCTTCAGGAATAACCCCGATGGCAACTCCCGTTTCTTCAACTAGGTACGGACGGATACTACAGTAGAGTAGAGTAAGGTAGGTAACTAATTAATCAACCCCTAGCCTGGTATTGATCCTCCCCTGTTTTGTCGCTTGTCCTGTCTTGTCAGGTCCTGTCCTTCAAATTCTTAGGGCGGCCCCTCTCACTTACATGGGTATCTTGTCACTTTTCTAAACGAGGCGCCATCACGTCCATTCTCATATCCATCTATCGATCTGCTTGTCAATCCTCTCCTTGGTTAGTTAATAAAATTGCGGGGGCCAAGCTCCTAGAGTCTACGTACCTCACCGGCCTATCTGCCTACTAACTGTGCTGTATATGCTACGGATGCTAATCCATTCTATTGGAGCCAATTGTAAGCTGGCAACATTGGGCAGAAATCATCACACCGCAAAGTCCTCCCTGATATGGCTGTGGCTATGCCAATTCTTTCACCTTCACAATCTTAATGCCTGATCAAAGCACTCCTCAGTAATAGTACAATTCTATCAGTTTCTATCCAAACATGCGTCTCATCCTGGTATTCCCATTCATCTAACATAGCTGGCAAGCCCGCGAGGTTCTTCCAGTTCCACTCTTTTCGCCCACCCTCCTAAATGCTGTAAACCCATGACCGCAGCCTTTCTCTAACTCAAAGCAAGGCTCGGTAATAATAGTACAGTGCTGCCAAGTCTATCTTGGAAGCCTGACGAGAAAAGAAGAAGAGAAAGAGACAATATGAAACCCTGCCCAACCCTGCCCAACCCAGACCTGACCTTTGCTCCAACCACAGCAAGGCACCTTGATGCAAGTCTGAACGCCTTTCTCCCGAAATCATTATCCACGCGCCCTTCGGTGTCAAATCCATATCCATTTGCCTCTGTAACGACCAGCAATGTATCCCATACCCGTATAATACATAGAGTATTGACCATACCCTCTTTTCCATTGAACCCCGCGATGCAATCATGATTGTAGCAATCCTATGTCTTCGTACACTACCAGCAAACGGTGGGAGGAAACCTAGCAAAAACAACATAAAAGGAAACTCGTGAACAGCCCGTTGGGCTTACCATACATGACATCAACCCGAGCCGTAAAATGCGATTGACAAGGGGGTAAGCATAATACGCAGCAAAATGATCGATATATCGATGTGTAAAAAGAAAGCAGTTGCGAAGCGCAACGAAAACAGCGGGTTCCTTGTTGCAGCTGGTGCTCAACACAATGACACCATGCAGGCATTGGGCCGTGATGCCTAACTTTGAACGCGAATTTCGATGTCAAAAAAAGGGTCATGTGTGTGTGTGTGTGTGTGTGACATCTGTTTGAGTACTTTGTGCAGTCTTAACTGTGCACGTTATCTGTTACCGCTGTCACTGCCTTCTTCCGAAGCATCGTATAAGTCCAGACAGTCTTCGAGAACTGCATGCACATGTTAGCGAATCCAGTCAAGCTCTTGGGGCAGGACTGCAGTTGCTCACCAGCAGTTATTTGATCCTCCCATACTCCATATTGATAGTCCACCAAGCCATGACGCTCTATACCGTCACAAAGCCTTATTAGTTCGTTTCCCATCTTTTTAATCATGGCCTTTGAAACCAGACTTTGCGGCCTCGAAAGTTGTTGGGATGAAGTCATTAGGTCAATTTGGCGCTGGCCCAATCCGAGCCAAGCGTGGTTGAAATCGTTCCACAGCTGAATACGATCAGCATGAAGGTTGGTATCGTCAAGATTAAGACCTGGGCACGCACAGTAGTTAGCTCTGGCTTTCTTATGGTCCCCTCCTCGGTTCCATAGACAGTGTAATACATACCTAGATCTGCGACCTGAGACAAGAGCCAGCTAGTGACGCTAAGCAATGTCTCAGATGCACTCTCAAGAGATCCATTCACTATCTCCTGAAATATGCTCCCTAGCTGCCTCTGATAACTGACCCATTTCTCTTCGAGGGCGCCTTCCGCATAGTCGTGGTCGTCTGTCATTGATACATCGGCGGTGTTTGTTGCCTGTGGCATTGCGCTCACACTGGACATGCTGTTGCTCGCATAATTCATGGCATTGCTTTGCTGATAAACATTCGCGGATCCGCTTGAGCCCTGCGCCGGTTGCTGTAGACTCGGGCCAGCTGAGGCCCCAGCCTCGGACCCAAAGTAGCTCGAGGCAACGTCTGGTGGCATCATTTGCATAGCTGCAGGTTGCCGCGAGCTGAATTGCTGCGCATCGTAAACCGTGTTTTGCGTACTCGGTTGGCCAACGTTATACATCATCGTAGTTGCGGTGCTGTAGCCGCCAAAGCCCTGTGTTTGGCGGGAGTCGTGGCCGTACTCAGGGCCATAAGCTATAGCTGTGCCAGGCATATTTGGCGTCGAGAATGATGCACTGGGTTCTGAATAGTAGTTACTGTAGTTACCCGGAGCTCCCATGCCTCGCCCTGATGATGAAGGGCCAGCAAGGGATGCAGGGCGATATCTGTCGTTGGAAATTCCAGCGAGCGAACGGCGCTGTTGTGACGGATCGTTAAGTGAGTATCTCTGATTGGGGTTCGAATGGACCGGCGGTTCATTCTGCCTCCTCATACGGTTCGAGTCGTCCATGCCCCGAAGACCTTCGATACCACACGACCCTGCTGTCGGTCCCAGCTGATGGGTGGTCGGCAACGCTGGTGACTGTAAAGCAGCCAGTTTCGCTGATCCGGAATAGTTACACAATACACGGTGCTGAATCAACAGTGAGGAAAGGGTATCCTTTTCAAAACAAGGTGATGTGGTTGCAAATATGTGACGGAACAGTGTTGTTGATAGTGCTGGAGGGGTCACCGCGGGGTTGCTGAAGAGGTGAAGTCCACAGTGGGAGTAGTCGCGATGATCGATAGTCGGGGGGTGTGGTGAGGCAGGGAATGGATGGCTAGCTGGGGAAGATAGTAGTCGAGTTGAGAGATCAAACGGCTCTGCAAGCAGGGTGCCGCTG